GAAGTTGCAACAGTTTGAGGCATTGTAATTGCTTTTTTGTTTGTCCCTGCGAGGCAAGATGGCTTTTGGGTTTGGGTTTGGGCTTGGGTGGGCCCAGCACCATCTCGAATTGCAGCAAATTTTTAATTAGATTTTTTGATTTTTTTTTCAGTCATTTTCAGGGCAGTTTTTCTGTTTTTGTTTTTACCGCCTGAGGTTCTGTTTTCGGTGTTTTCACCAAACTGACACCCGCCTTAAATTGGGTTTCCAAGGTTTGGTCAGGGGAAGAGACCTCGGACACATTTGTTAACGAGTTAAAGCGAAGATAAAGCGCAAGTTATGAGCCATGACCAATCGTTCGATGTCCATTTGGGGGCCCGATGCCTTTTAAATTAGGTAAAGTATAACTTTAATTGCTTTGTGTGGTTACGGATATAGAAGAAATAGAAATTACTCGACAGAATTAACAAAAAAGATAATAATTGGATAAATTTATAAAATTTAAAATTATTTTAAAATGGTTTTTGATTACAAAAACAAGATAAAAATTTCACCATTTGCAATTATAGTAATTAAAATGCAATTTCATACACCAAAAAGCGTAACCTTAGTATCTGGAGCTAAAAGATTTAACCGCAGAGTAAAAGCCAAAACAGCTGCTCAAAGTTCTAACCCCAAACCCCAAAATAAACAAAACCGGAGCACATATAATTAAATACGCTGTGAGTATTCTGTTGCGGGGAGTCAACGCAGGGAAACCCAAGGAAGTCTTTCTTCTGGAAACGTCCATGGTGGAAACTTCATTGCAATTATGAAATTTTAGACATTTTGATGTAGTGCAGCATGTAAAGCTCCCCTTGCGTTCTGTTCTGTCCTTTGTTGTCCGAAAAATGATGGCCACAAAAGTTGTTTGGCTAGGAAAACATGAGACGAGTGTCTATGATATGGGAATACGCAGTGAACACAATGTAAATGTTGCTAGACGGGGCTGTTTTTTGTGGTTGGGCGGAAGTCAAATTGCGCATTTGATTATGAAATCAGATACTTTTTGGGGTAAGCAAATTTGGAGAGGGCTGAACATATGAAGTTTTCACTGGCAAAACGTTAATTAAAATTCGTTAATTGGTTTTGCTTGGGCTGCTTTTTGTGATTCATCTTTATGCGGAGTTATGTTTTAAACATTTTTCCACGTGCAAAGTTTTAACTTCAGTAAGTAAGTTTTCATTTATAAATTCTCAGACGTAACTACAAATTCCAATAAACCATAAAACACAATTGAATGGATATAAATTCACTTTTATTTCCAATCGTAATTGAAAGTACATTTTCCCACCGACCCCACTAAACTGAAAATCCAACAAAGGAAGCGATCTTATGGAGCCACATAACATCAATTATAAATGCACTCGATAAATTATTTGCAAGTATTAACTTGGCTTTCAGGCACTTCAGCAGCAGTTGCAGCTAAGTACCTTTCATGGCTGGCTGTGTATTTACAAAAATTATTTTAGTTTACTTTAGTTCGCCAAGGAAAACTAACCCGAAGAATTTTCTTGTTCATTCGACTTGAGCTCTGTTTTTCATTTTGTTTTCCCAAGCAGCTCCTGTGTGTGTGTGAGCTTAAAATGGCCACATTCGTGCACACGTGTTGGTGTTAAGCACTTCCGGTTGGCTGCTCGACTGCTCACCTGACATGCGTTTCCCACCGAAAGGCAGAAGGATTCAAAGAGTGAAACAGGAGAGAGAAGGACGAGAGTACAAGGACGAACCTCTGTGGCTTCGACCTGCACTTGCACCTCCTGGCTTCTGACAGATTCCCCTCCCCGCACATCCCGGTTTGATTTTTCATTAAGTTTCCAGGGGAAGCTGCAGCATAAGTCACCTTCTTGTTGGTTTTCTTTTCACCGGGTATCGTTAGTGAAAATTATTTTCAATTAGCCAGCTACACAACCGCTGAACGAGGAAATGGATGGGCCACAGTTTTCGGTTTCGTTATTTCGATTCTTGAAATCTGCTCTGTTTTTCCCGCTGTCCTTATTCCCTTTAAAATACAAGGGAATCGGAAATGTAATGGTAAACCAATCACTAATTGATTAAACGAATATGACAGCTTGCCATAACTGAGATTGATTCGCAGGAATATTTTACACTTTTTAAATTAAAAAGGTAGAATAACTGCCATTGATTGTATGCATTTATTTAAGTTTTATTTTAGCCCAGTGGCATGACAGAAAACTATTCTAAATGCTATTTTAACATATTTGCACACACGCATATAAAAACCAGGCTAATTGAATGTTTGCTTTTATTGACAGCTTTTAATTTCAAAGTCTGTATCGATTTATCCGTTTGTTCAGTAAATGGCATTTGAATAATAAATAAATAATAATAAAGTGTTAAATGTGTTTGAATAAACAATCGTAAAATAACCATAGAACCACGAAATGTGTTTGACTTTAAAATGAAACTCACTCACATTTAGCAGCACCTGAAAGTTATATCGAAAACCAAACTTAATAGTAGTTGCAGTACTTGATAGTTGGCTAACTGAGCTCGCAATTTCCCTTTAATTTCTCGAGTTGGTTTCCCCCGAAAGTAGACAACATTTTGGCTCTTATCCCATTGTTGCAGCTGACAAGCCAAAGAGTTTGGGGCTATTTCTGCTGAAGTTCCCAGTTGCTGATAGTTCCCCTCCCCCAAAACATTCACAAAACAATTCTGTGGGCGTGGCCACGCCCCTTCCAACCAGAACAGCTGGTTCTTGACCTAAGCTTGGGCACAAACGAAAAAAAAGAAAACCAAACAAACACTCAAACTTTACCCATTGAAATGCAAATCGGTGCGAAAATCTTCAAATGACTTCGATTGGTTTTCTGGCCTCGGCTTTTGTTTCTGCCGGCGATTCGAACCTCGAAGGCAGGTCCTGCAGGACAAAAGGACCTGCTGCCTTTGGGCACTTCTAATCGGACTTTCGGCCAGCATGTAAATGCATTAAACAATGGTGGCCACAGAATTTTAACGAATTTTCCCCGAAAGCCGAATTGACAATTTAATTTGCTGCCGAGTGTTGTTCCCCGCTCCCCTTTTCCCGGCTTTTCCGAACTTTATGAGGCCAAGTCCCATTTGCATTTCAGTGAGAACTCGATTTCCGCTCGGTCAAGTGACATGATTGATACTCCCGGGCGCCGGGCGTCTGAAGGATTCCCAGGGGAATGGAATGGAGAGTGTCCTTGCCTCCTTCGCCTGTTGCCTGCGGGCGTAAAAACAACACCCGGGGCTTTGACATGTCCGGACATGTCCAGCAGGCGGTGGCGACACACAGACGGAGTCCCTCCTCAGACCAGACGGATCCGAACTCCTGACTCCCGACTCCGAATACTGGAGAACAATGCACCGAGGAGGGGCGACAAGGCATCGCATCACATCAAGTAGCCGACACGTTGTAGCTTACAAAGTTGTGCAAAATCATTTTTGTCTCCCAGTGATGATGGCTGAAAGTGAGGCAAAAAGCAGCTAGTAAGCGTGTAAATGGGTAAGAAAATTTCTGGAATTTCAGCATTACTTTTAGAGAGATAAGAAAAAACGTGCAACAATGTTAATTGTTATTAAAAACTAATATTTTTGCAAGAGGCAGAAGCTTAATAAAATCTAAGTATTTTAAAATATAAACATTCTTTGTTCCTTTTTTAAAACAAATAGTAGTTACTATTTATTTAATAATTACTAATCGGTAAACATCTATTGAAGCAAATGGAAGTTTCCACTGATAACATCAAACTACATAAATCCAAAATGCATTCAATAAATGCAAGCAAATATGTATTAAATTCTAAAATCATAATTAATCCCTTGTTGCAATAGGTTTATTTCAAGACTGTTTATCTCTTGACTGAGCTAATGAATTTCAATAATTTCCTAACATTGCTTATTAATGAAGTTAAATATATTATAACCTAGCAACAACCTCCTGCTTGCTAATTATGACCCCAGGGTAGAAATCTATTTCTCCATCTCTCACGTTGCCAACTCAAAATTGCTGCTCTGATTTTAACTTTAAAATGATTTGCTGCACAAACCTCGCACTTGTGCAATCAGAGCGAATTCTATATTTCTGTGAGCAGTTTGCTCTGCCTTTATTTCAGAAATTGAAACTTGTGGCAGCCACGTCCTTTGTGGCCCAATATCAAATGCGTTTGTTTGTTCTACTGGTTTCGGACTCAGACTGCAAACAATTAAGTTTGCATCTATAGAGTGACACTTTTATTTTCTTGTGGTTTCCAGGCGCACCCGAAAAAAGGACTCAAACACATGTATGTACGCGCCAGTGTCAGTGGCAATTTCGGTTTTTTGGCAACTGAACTGGGAGAGCTGCTGGGGACTTCCCCCACTTCCAAGTGTCAGATGCAATGGAGTTTTAAATAAAATGTACTTGCAATAAATTTCCCGCCAGCTCTATGGAAATATATTATCAGCATATGCTGGCAGCTCCTCTTGTTTTTTGGCAAGCCACAAGCCTCTTGTCCGATTTAAATATTTAATCTGATTTCATGTTTCAATGCGTTTCATGGTAATTTACAATACGTCTGCCTTTAAGTGAGGCGGCAAGCAAAGACAAGCATTCATAGAAGTCTTTCATCTTAATCACAATTTCAAGTTGATAAGTTTAAACTTACCGTTTGTCAAAGAAAGGGCTTAGTTTTACTCAAGAAATTATGGCAAGGCAAATCTGAATTAGGCAAAGTATTTTGACCAAAAGAGCTTCATGGTTTGCGGCTTATTGGAAGTCTCGTAATTATGCTTGAGTTAACATACAAATCAACTTCAAATACGAATAGGAAATGTGTTAATTAATACAAAGTACTTACAGGTATTAAAGCCTTCTATTTCAAACAACAAACAACTGGCGCTATATTTTTGATTGACATAAATATTGAACCTAGCTTGAACCTTTTTGTTTATAAATTGTATAAATTCACTCAGAGTTTGTACATGTTAAACAGTTTTATTATATTAATGATAATTTTATTTAACACCAAGACTTAAATGCTATTAATGTTTTTGAAGTTTTATAAACTTGGCTATTACTTTAAGATAAATTTGGTTTATTTTTTGGCAGCACTATTCTTATTAGATGAACCTACAATTCCCCACTATCAACTTGTCGCATCACTTCCAGCATCCTATCGTATAGCACAGTTTTAACGTCATTTCCCCATATGAAGTTCACGTGGTTAAACAGAGGTTCAGGAATCAGGTAATCATGAACCACATTTGGCAAAAGGTCCCGCAATCGAAAAACATCTTTTTCAGACGACAAACGATCGTTTTTACTGTAGTACAGTGCCACTTTGCAGTCAACGTTAGTCAATTTGTACTGTGGCGGAGTATCTGCGCCATGTCTTCTTCGATTCTCCCAAGTGTTGTAATAATTGAACTTGAAAAATCCTCCACTGTGGATCTGTTGTCCGTAGTGTTCCACGGATTTGAGTGAGGATCCCGCTCCTGCGTGTCCTGTGAAAAGTGGCACCAGGCTGGTATTAAACTGTTGGTAGTCCACGCCCATCAGTTCCTGAATCAAGTAGGCGCAAGTGTTTTGTAAGGCAAAGCTGCAGATTTTGTTAACGAGTCTGCGCCACACATCGTTCTCCGGAAAAAGTTCGTAAATGCCAAACAATCTAGCAAGAGACTTAAAATAAAATAATAAAAATAAATAAAATCGAAATACCATGTTATTTGAATTAATTTAAACTTACAGTTAGGGGTCTCAGATATTTTACAAATGTCAGAATAATTGGTGAATCAATGTTATCCCAAAATGCCACTGGAGCCAAAGCCTGCATAAGTTTAATTTTCTTCATGTAAGCAGGACGCTCACTTCCCATTGCAAAAAAGGATGTGGTTCCCTGTGAATGGCCGACATAATGGACCTGATCGAATCCCTTGCTTTTGGCAAGGACATAATCAATGGCAGCTGGAAGATCATAGATCCCGAGCTCGTGGAAGGAGAAGTCCCAGAACTGAGGTTGATATCGGTGGAATCTTTTGTGCTTTCGCGAATATCGATTGCCACGGGTATTTAGCAGCCAAATATCGTATCCCAGATCGCTGAGGAGAAAGCCCAAGGACCTCTTGGGACCCAGGATCACATAAGCCACTGAACTGTCAAACAATCCGTGTACCATTAAAACTGGTTGTGCGCCGGGCTTCGGAATTCGATGAGCTGTGAGGACAAAGCCATCCTTCGCCTGAATTTTATGTGTTTCCGCAGGATAACCATACTTTTTTATAAGATCCGGCTGTTAAAATAGAAATATTCAAGTGCCATAATAATATGCAAAACAATTAGTTGTCTTAAGAATATATTCTTCAAGCAACATTGCAATTATTTTATAATCTAGTTATAATATTTTTTTCAAAATATTCAATATCTTACCGTTATTAAATTGGCATCCTCCAAAATGTTTTTATGCACTTTTATTATGTCACATTGAACTATACTAACAACACTTAAAAGACAGACTAAACTGCCACAAAAGTAATTTACACTAAAGTTTCTAAACATGTTCTCCTCCTAAACTTTTACTTGTCTTCAACCAGTGCAATTTGCAACATGCACTGTGAATTGATCAGAATTAATTTAAGCTAACTAAATTGGCCAATCAAGTGATTCAGCCGAGATCTGTTTCTGTTAATAGATCTCGTATAAAATTGTTTTAGGTTGCATGTAATCGCTGTAAGAATAATTTGAACACCAACTTTAACTTTAACCTTATTTTGATCTTTTCGCTTTTTAATTTTTTAATTCCTCGATCTCGCTTGTTTGTATTGTTTACTTTTTTTTTACTTAATTTTTTGTTAAAGGGCAGTAGTTTATTTAACTACATCTTACATTTGTATTCTTTATTTTATTAAAAAATGTTCTATTACCTATACGTTGTTCTTTGCGAATTATTTATTTAGTATTTTTTGTTTAGAAATTTTCATTACCATGCGCTTACAATTATATTAATAGTTTTTTTAGTGTTATTCTAATTATTATAATGGTTTTTTAATAGTTTATTTTAAAAGTTTTTCATTGTTACCTAATTTGCAAGCACTTCCATTTTTTAAAAAAACCTTTTCAGTAGTTATTTTCGTGCTCTCTAAATTAATTTATTCATGTCATTGTATTTACAATAATAATTTTGAACTTTGTTTATTATTTCAATAATATTTTTTTGTTATTATTTATATATATTATATTGTATTGGTATCCTTTTTATGAGCAGGGCGGTCCTGCCCCTTTTTTATATTAATAGGACGTTAAGTATTTAGAATTAGAACTACTCCCGGTGCGCGATCAATTGCCACTGAGCAATGGAATTTAGTCGTGTGCCTTTTTTGATCCGAGCAGCTAATTTTAGTTGGCGAATCTTGTTAGACCGCTCCCCTCCTTGACCCGATTGCATCTCACGTGAATCGGGGCAATCAGTATGCATAAAATAGTAACAAAGTAGTATCTTATTGTTCAGAATATATTAAACAAGTTTTCATTGCACGGTAAGTGGAAATGGAAGTGGAAATAGAAACAAATTGGCAGTCGGATAAGGTCACCAAAAATTGATGTGAAAGCTAAATAGCGCATTGATAAGCTGATAAATGACACATAAATGGACATATTTATAGAATTAGAAGCGCAACTGCTTGACTAAAACCGGGTTTTAAGCAAAAACAAACAACTTAGTAAACGTGCTCTGACTTGTATGATTAATTAGTTCCGATTAAGTAAAGACAAGGTAATTAATTATATTCAATAAAAGTGACTACTTAACACAACGACTTCCTGACCTTTGACAATTTTTTTTTATATGCAATTGCTTATAAATAATAAAAGAGGAGGTAAACATTTTTTATTATAATTTTATTTAATCAATTCTATTATGAAGGATCACATTTCGTAAATCTTTTATTATATATTAGCAGCATACATTTTCAATTTTTTTTTTTTTTTATATATACCTACCTACATATTAATAATTTTTTAGAAATATTTATTGTAAGGCCTGGCAGCCTTTGTTACTCATTTTTGTTAATTTTTTGTTGTATTGAATATTTTTATTGACTTTCTTAGCTTGAAAATTACTTATTGCTACCAATTAATAAATACCTATCTACAAATGGTACTAACGCATAATATACTGTCAATAATTACATTAAAAATATGATACCGAACTAAATAACTGAATTCTCGTAATTTATCATGTTTTCCAACATTCGATCCCACAGCAATTCCCTGGCATCGATACCCCAGATGAAATCTAAGTGGTTGAACTCCTTGTCTTTCACCAGATATTTTTCCACCACATTTGGCAGTTCCCTGTGCAGCATTTCCACATCTTCTGGCGGGGCAAGCCAATCATTTTGGCCATAATACAGGGCCACCTTGGCCTTGACATTTTTCAGGTGGTAAGATGGTGGCTCGATGGTTCCGTAACGCCAGTGGTTCCTCAGCCATCCGTAGTCGTATTGCCGGAAAGATCCCGATCTCTTGAGCTGTCCGAAGTGCTGCATTTGCTTGGTGGCAGCTCCAGCCGGGGAATGTCCCACGATCACCGGAAGCATCGTCTCGTTCAGCTGCAGTTTGTCGAATCCGGTGGTCAGGAAGATCACATTCGAACAGATCTCCTTCGTGATGGTTGTCTCGTCGCAAATAATGCGATTGAACATGCTGATGAACTCGTTTTTGGGCAGGAACTCGTGGACGCCAATCAACTTGAGGACCAACTAAGAAAGGGGAGAAATTTATAAGTATGTGTAGATTCAAAGGATATAATTAAGGATAAAAGAGTTTTTGAACTAGAATTGATCATGAATTTCAATGGTTTTTGATAAAGATTTTTTCGTTTTTGAAATATCCTATATTCGTCAGCAGTTTTTTTTAAAGATTTGTTAAATTTTGAAGATCTTTTGGTTTGATTATAAATATAAATGTTTAGATTATAAACGTTTGTCTTGGGAATATAATTTAATATGATTAGGGTTCCGGAACTTTCTTCAAATTGTTTTGATAATTAAATAGAATAGAATAGAATAGGTTTTCCCAAAAACATATAATTTTCCAATGCAAAAACTCTCTTTAAAGGATTGGGTAAATTGGATGGGGTAACTTACGCTCACCGACAGATGCCAATCGGCCAGGAAGTTGACCACTGGACTCCGGCAGTGCTTTAGATAGGCCACTGGCGCCAATCCCTGCATCAGGATGATCTTGTCCATGTATTCCGGATGCTCACTGGCCATAATCCAGAAGACCACGGTTCCCTGAGAGTGGCCAATGTAGTGCAGCTGACTGACAGCAGTGAAGTTGAGAATATAGTCGATCGTGCTGGGAATATCGTATTTTCCCATCTCGTGGAACGTGAAATCCCAGAACTTGGCATGGTGTGTGCTATATTTAACGTGCTTTCTAGAGTACGTGTTTCCCCGGACATTGGCCATCCAGACATCGTAGCCCTGTTCGTACAGCAGGTAACCTTTGGAACAATAAATGCAAACAATATAATCAGCATGGATGAGCCAATGAAAGATAGCCTTTGATCTTACCAAGTCCCTTGTTGGGTCCCATCATCACCCAAGTGGCGGAACTATCCAGCAGTCCATGGACCAACAGGACTGGAGTTGCTCCAGGACGAGCGATCCTGTGCAGAGTGAGTATATATCCATCTTCAGTCTCCACTGTATGATTCTCCGCCGGGTAGCCGTACTTTTTAATGAGATTGTACTGTTTTAAAAAGAAAATAAGAAGAAGCTTATGTTTATAAAATAAACAATATTTGAACTTATTTGCACATAAAAGTATACGAGTTAATTGGCATCGTTCACTTAACTATTTTTAATTTATTATTATCACTTTGTTAATTAAAACCAATTTGTTGTAAATCATGTATTTCGTGCTTGCAATTGCTCAACATCACTGAGCGTTATAATCAATATGATCTCGTTACGCTCGAATAAGTTGAGCTCCATCGGTATATACTGTTTAATTATACAATTTTATTATATGAGGGGTATTGAAATGATTCATGGTAATTACCTACACAATCTTGGTTATGTGCTGTGTTTTCAATAATCAGAAAGTTTTTGATCTTTGATTTCAACGAGGGTTTTTGGCTTTCGTTTTGTATACACGAATATAAATGTATGATTACCAAACTAATATGCAAGTTAAAGTTTTCACAAAAATAATAATTATTATTTGACAATCACATTTCTAAAAAAAAATAGTTTTTGGCTCCAACAGATCAAAAATAAGTGCCAAAGGTTTAACAAACTTTTTGTAAGCATTTCAATACAAAGTAATACAATAACCAGCTGATACTTTTTAATAGGTTTTGTTACGACTCATTTTATCTTGTTAACCTTTGACCTACCGTGTTTAAATGCGAGTCTTCCTCAATATTGGGATCCTCGTCGTGTTCAATCCGCAAATTGCTGTCCACTGCAATTGAGCGACCCAGAAACGTGGGTGTTTTAAAGTTCACATTGAAGAGGGTGATGTTTCCCAGCGTTAACGTTAGTCCCTCGGCGATTCCCGATTGCAGTAGACACACACTTAGCAAAACTATTAGCAAACTTGCTGACATTTCACCCATTTTACTGTTTAACAGTATGTAAATATTTTGTGTATAATGATTATAGGGTTTAGCTCTGTGGATGCGATCGGTGCGAGGCACAATTGTTGACTGATGACCGTTTTCGATTGGCACCAACAAAGAAACCTTCTGTGCGCGCGAGAAATTCGACACTTCCCGACTTATATTCGAATAATCAGCGTTTGCCCGTCGTCCACGTATATTATTTTCGACTGAATCGATTCACCATATTAGTTGGACCCGGCGATAACCTGACTGCCTTCGTCACGAACGGACGGCTGATTAGAGGAGAGTCCGGCTCGAAATGGTCTTGACTTTGGATCCACTTACGCACGAGATGTCAAAACCACCGGCCCCCAGCGGCAACTGAAGAAGATGTTTTGTTTTGTCGTTATTCCGCCGAAGGGGCTCCACCTTGGCAACATTCGCTGGGTCTCAAAACAAACAAATCCAACATGTTGCCAGGCCAATTGAGTCGCTTAAGCTCGGCTCTTTTTTGTTGAACTCTCCCCAACGCGAAAATAACAACTGGTTGCTGCTCTGCTCAGCCGGAAAGAGAAAAATATATTACAGTATATTAATTACGGACACGCTTATCGAAGATCATGAATCATTGCTAACTCATTTTACAGATGGATGCAAATATCAGTAGCTAATAAATTCAAGAGAATATAAACCCTGTGACCTACAAAACCTTATCTTCAAATGAAATTGGTCATGGACTGATTAGAACTACAAACCCTATTTGAACATAATACTTTGAGATTACAAAGTCCACTGGTGAATCTATTAATAAGTGATCAACGTAAAGCAAACCCTTCAATGCTTTACGTGAGCTAAAAATTTATTATTGATAAGCCATTTACTATAATAAGTCCCTTGACCATTAACTTAGAGATTGCATAAAAAAACGATTTTTAATCAATTAAAAATCAGCAGCAGTACATTAAATGATCATGAACTTAGGTTGAAAAAACTAACGAGCAATATAGAATATGAAGCTTTTTTCCACTTATTGGAAACTACTTCAAAACTTGATTTCAATCACGAATATTAAAATGAACCCAACCAAAAAAGGTTGGTAGGTTTTCAAATTAGCATCTTCCCTCAACAAATTTGTTTTTTGAGTTTGACCTGAGATGCTCCGTTTTATTTTACATTTTTTTAGTCTAATCCATTTTGAATAAAATGTACAGACTAAAAAAATATAAAGATACAAATTATACCTCCGATTAAACAGCTTTGTTGATCATAAACTTTTCTTATTTTTTTATCTTAATCAATGTTTGTATTCCGGCGCAGACTGCATACAACATTGAAAAGGTCCAAATGTCATTAAATTTTGTAGATAAATATTTAAATTAGCCCCTCTAGTAGAAAATTTGAATAATTTAATATGCAAAAGCCTCCAAGACTTAAGTCTATTAGTAAGTTATTAAGTTGATGGTAGACTATCAGCTGCTTCCCCAATTTTATTTATTGGCCCATTGATACGTAACCTCTCTCCTAAAGTCGTTTTAAGTCAACAAATTACTCATAGACTGCCAGCAACAAAACAAGCGATTACTTATTAATTATTTACCGATCAAAGTGCAATCATCGGCGGCAGAGTTTTATATCTGCTATTAATAAGCAATCACAAAATTATTCGCACTTTGATGGAGGAAGTGGCAAGAGGCGTGATAACCGGACTCAAAATCCGACACACGAATTGAAATTAATTTTAGAAATTTCGTATTTACGAGAGGTAAACACAGTTGCCGTGATAGAGATAAACTAGAGGGAAAGGCAGGGACCCAGCTTATCTCACTGACCAGTTGTGGGAGTTGAGTTAAGTCGGTCTGAGTGTTATTCAATTATTAAGTGTAGCTTATTCTGCATTTAACGAGCAAACAAACACGCACTCGAATACAGAGGCAAATCGTCGTCGCACAGATATTGAGGCAGTCAGAAAAATATTTTTAAATTATCTTTGAAAATTATAAAACAACAAGAAAGGAAGCTAGCTTCGGCATGCCGAAGCTTATATACCCTTGCAGTCATCAAAGATGTCGAACAAAATGCATAAAGGCTAAACAACATTGAAGCTAAGACGATTTTTCTATTCATTTTCCACATTTTCGACTATAGATCATATGGGAGCTATATGATATAGTCGTCCGATTTTGATCAAATTTAATTCGTAATTCAAGAGTCGTTAGAAAACATTATTATCCAAAAATCATGCTTATCTGATGAAAAGAACGATGTTATAATTTTATTTCCGTTATTTCTATATAGATTTTCGATCTTTCCTATGGCAGCTATAAGATATAGTTGTCCGATTTTTATGAAACTTTTTCTCAATATCAGAGTTGTTAAAAAACTTCGTATTGAAAAAATCATGCTCGTGGGATAAAAAACAACGATGTTTTACATTTATTTCCATTAATTCTATATATATTTTGCGATCTTTCCTATGGCAGCTATATGATAGAGTTATCCGATTTTGATAAAATTTAAACCGAAATTCAATAGTAGTTAGAAAACGCCATCTGGAAGAAATAAAGTTGATCTGATCAAAAACAACGGAGTGAGAATTTTTATTTTCAATCTCTCGTATGGGAGCTATCCGATATAGTCGGCCGATCCGGCTCGTTCCGACTTATATACTGCGTGCAATAACTACACAACTTTCCAGAAAGTTTCAGCGCGATAGCTTCAAAACTGAGAGACTAGTTTACATAGAAACAGACAGACGGACAGACGGACCGCCGGACAGACGGACCGACAGACAGACGTACAGACGGATTTCGATTCAGATCGTGATGCTGATCAAGAATATATATACTTTATAGGGTCTGAGGTGTCTCCTTCACTGCGTTGCAAACTTCGACTGAAATTATAATACCCTTTGCTCTGCAAGGGTATAAAAAAGCAAGAAATTTTCCATCCGTGTGTCAAAAAATATTTTGAAAAACAATACCTTGACTTTTACATAAACTAAACAAAGATTAAAGGTTATCATTTGAAAACACTGTCTTGGTTTATTGTTTATAAAACAAATTAGCTGGCTATTGAACATTTTTTCTTTATCCGAAAAACAAATTTATTTTTTCTGGATGCAATTTCTTATAATACATTATTTTTCTGAGTGCACATACTCAGTTATACAGCAACATTTGTGGCGACAGCTACGCACATACTTGCTATGCAAATCAGCACGGACAATGCGCAGTTCATTAAATGAGCTGTTGAGCATAAATATATAAATTTATGCATGTTATTATCACCCCGACCCCCTTCTGTCCCCCCATTTCCCCCTCTTGAGCTTCGCTATCAGCATTTGCAATGTCAGCCACAAACTGCATTATCATATGAAAAGCTTTCCGACTCAAAACTCGTTTTGTTTCAGCAACATTTCTCATCCAGCAACATGTTTCTATCACTAATCGAAGTTTTGACCAATTCAATGACATTTGGACTTGTGGATTTTCGATTTATTTACTGCGCGGTTAGATTTTTCTGGATGCAAATATTGAATTTCCCCATCTAAACCTCGATTTTCGGGCATTTAAAACATTTACCGCAAGCCACAAGCGTTTGACTGACACAAAAAGCGGTTGATTGGCTCAAAAAGTTATATTCAAACTTTTATTAGTTTCCAAAGAGAAGTGAAAAAAGTTAGTGGGAGAAAGGCAATGCATTCCAAGCCAGTCGATTGAAATCCAATGACAAATATTTGTTGGGAAACGACAAAAGATGCGAAAATGACAAAGCTGAAAAAACCGGTAGTAATTGAAGATAATTCCTTCGACAACTATACATACATTTTTGGGCAAAACCAAAAGTAATAAAAAAGCCAATTTTTTTTTTTTAAATATTCAGAGAATAATCAACAATCATCCAAGAGCTTTACAAAATTCAAAACTATTTTATTTATTAACTATTATTTATAACTAGTTTTCTTAATCACATATTTCTGTTTACTTCGTGTTTTCTTTTAATATTAAACCCATTATTTTAACTTATATATTTTATGCATTTAAGGGAACCTCTGCTCTGTCTGTAGCAACAAGTTAAATTCCACTCCTTGAATGCTAAATACTTTGACTTCAAAAGGCCCCTGAAAATACCAGAAAATCTACCACTTGAAAGCACACACGAAACCCCCTGAAACTTCGACCTACTAAACACTCGTTGTCTGAGAAAAGGGGGTGAAATCAATGTGCAAATCTCATAAGATGCGGGCGTTTTGGGACCCCTGAGAATGGGAACGGTGAGGCTGGGAATTTCCCCCGCACAGAAGACAAATTTCGCAAATACCCGAGTGCGAGGCTGAGCCCATAAGTGCTCAGTGTGTCAATGTGGCAAATGTATCTGTAGCTCGCATCAGTGTATCTTTTTGTATCTGCACCTCTCGCTCACTGCTAACCCTCCGCAAAAAAAAAAAACACACGTACTCAGCTCGTTGCTCGGATCAATTTCCAGAACAAGATTTATGCGCTCGCCAAAAAGGGGGCCATAAAATATTTATTGTTTTCAAGTTCCATGGCCATGATAAGCGGAAGAAAAAGCAGCGAAGCCCCAGGATAAGGGCGAACTGGTTCAAGGATAACAGAACAAAGAGCAACAGGAACAATTCTTATCCTTACTCCGTAATACGATACCAGTTGGATGGGCGGGAGGGGAAGTCCTGATATATTACCTTTAAATAGAAATTTATTTCCATGCTAAACTGGAAATTTAAATGAGAATAGGGGTTCGATGAGGGCTCGGAAATCAATTCCAATTATCAAAGGGCATTCTAACTTTTCGATTTGCAATCATCATAATTAAGCAGATACAAAATTGTGGGAATTTGAGGGTTAAGAAATTGCCTAAGTTAAAAAAAATATTAAATCGTTTTAGATCTCTCAAGATATATGTTTATTCTGATTTTTCAACTTTAAGTTCAAGCTTCATAAGTTTAGCTTTTCCCCATTTAAAGTATCTGCTTTCCCCACATGTGGTATTCAAATTGGATTCAATGAGTCTGATTTTAACCCTTCAATGCCCGCAACATCTGCAGCGATTTATACAAATAATTAACTGTCAACTGCAGGCAGCATTTGTCGGAATTTACTCGCTTTACTTTCCCCCTTTCCCGCTAAGCGACACCTTGAGGGATCAGCATCCCTACACTGGAAATTGTAGGCAATCTAGTCGGCTTTTCGGAAAATGTGAAAAATGAAAAATATAAATAAATGTTGATGATTGTTTGGCAGCCGTGAGGGAGATCGGCGGCATGGGGGCACGGGTGATTTATAAAAATGTGCGAGAAAAATGATTTTTGCACGCCTCAGAGCCGTTGACAGGCTCAAACATCAGCTATTCGCCATTCGCCATAAG